TTAGGCCTGGCCCAGCCCAGGCCGTCGGAGCCATTTGGGTCATGAACCAGCAAATAGGAGACTCTCTCTTTCTCTCTGTCACTCTGCCTTTCAAATAATTTTTTTAAGGTTTATTTATTGATTTGAAAGGCAGAGAGAGGGAGAAAGAGGGAGAGAGAGAGAGAGACCATCTACTGGTTCACTCCCTAAATGGCTGTAAGAGCTAGAGCTGGGCTGACCCTAAGCCAGGAGCCAGGAGCTTCCTCTTGGTCTCCCATGTGGGTGCAGAGGCCCAAGGACTGAGGCCATACATAAATCATAAGAAAAGAAGCCAGTGCCACCTGGAGCAGCCCCGACTTCTCTCTCCTGCTCTCCCACAGTGGTGGGGTTCTGGTAGAGTTCTGAGGCTGGGGGAGCCTGGGGTACTGGTCCAGAGGTGGTCTCTTGGGGCACACACCAGGGCAGAGGAGGGTGGAGGGGAAGAGCCGGCTCCATGTCACCTGGCCACAGCCGACAGTGGGCAGCGCTGAGAATAAGCCCAAGGCTGTCATGTTGCTCACTGGACAAATGGCAGACATTTTATGACAATACCAAGTGACAGCAGGAGGGGAGGTCATTTTCCTTTTCATTTAAAAAAAATTATTTATTTGAAAGTCAGAGTTACACAGAGAGAGAAGGAGAGGCAGAGAGAGAGAGAAGTCTTCCATCTGCTGGTTCACTCCCCAATTGGCCGAAATGGCTGGAGCTGCGCTGATCCAAAGCCAGGAGCCAGGAGCCTCTTCCGAGCCTCCCACGCGACTGTTGGGGCCCAAGGACTTGGGCCATCCTCTACTGCTTTCCCAGGCCACAGCAGAGGGCTGGATCAGAAGTGGAGCAGCCAGGACTTGGACCAGCGCCCATATGGAATGCTGGCCACACCACAGTGCCGGCCCCGGGAGAGGTCATTTCCCATGTCAGTTTGGCTCAGTTCTGGGGCCCCACTGTTTGGTCAAACGCTGGCCTTGGTATTTTGTAGACGAGATTCACAATCAGTTGACTTGGAGGAAAGGAGATTGGGCCGTGTCCAATCAGTTCAAAGTCTTCTTGAAGAAGGAATTCTGCCTCGGGCTGTAATGCATGAGTCCTGCGAGGGGCCACTGTGGCACTGGGGGCTGAGGCACCGCTTGCAACACCCGCATCCTGTATCATAGTGTCAGTTCAAACCCCGGCTGCTCTGCTTCAGATCCAGCTCCCCGCTAAAGGGCCTGGGAAGGCAGCAGGTTATGGACCAAGTCCTTGGTCCCCTGCCACCCACTTGGGAGATCCAGATGGAGTTCTGGCTCCTGGCTTTGGTCCGGCCCAGGCCTGGCTGCTGCAGCCATTTGGGGAGTGAACCAGCAGATGGAAGATCAGTTTTTCTTTCTGTCTTTCTCTGTCACTCTGCCTTTCAAATAAATAAATCTTAAAGATAACGACAATAAACCCTGAGCATCCAGCCTGCTGCCCAGCCCTATAGATTTCACATTACAACAGTCACTTTTGCCTGAGCTGCCAGGCCTTTTGGGCCCATCAGACCTCATGATCTAATTCCTTAAAATACATCCCTCTTGCTGTATGTGCAATGCGTTTTCCAAAAGTTTGTGAGAAAATGGAATTACAGATCTGAGCAATCCCCTGGCCGGTGCTGCAGGCCTGTGGGGGAGGGACTTCCGTACGCGGCTGCGAGCACGCACAATGGGACAGCACCTTCTGCACCTGCTGACCACGACCTAGGTATTCCTTGGCCACTTTTCTCCCCCTAATATTTATTTATTTATTTGAAAAGCAGAGTGACAGAGAAAGAGAGAGAGAGATCTTCCATCTGCTGTTTCACTCCCCAGTGGTCACAACAGCCAGGGCTGTGCCAGGCTTGAAGCCAGGAGTTTGGAACCCCATCCAGGTCTCCCACATAGGCGACAGGGACCCCAGCCAGCTGGGCCACCTTCTGCTGCTTTCCCAGGGAGCCAGATCAGAAGCGGGGCAGCCAGGACCAGAACCGGCACTCTGTTGTGGGATGCCAGTGTTTGCAAGCAGTGGTTTAAGCTGCCATGCCACAATGTTGGCCTCTCTTTGACCACTTTTACCATTGCTGCCTTCAGCCTGCCTTGTAAGAGCGCATCCCAGTGGACACCGCCACTGGTTAATAACCTGTGGCCAAGGTTAACAGGTTGCGGGAGACCTGAGGGATAACCTAGCGAGGCCCCCTCCTAGGGGACAACGGAACGGGTGGCATGCAAAGCGGCCAGCTCAGGCCACCCGGAGCCAGGGCCTGGCTGCCCCCACACCTTGTACTGAGGTTCCGGAGTGGCCCTTGAGCTCCTTTCTGCTTGACTCCTGTCCACACCTCGCACCCAGGTACCCTGAAGACCCTGGGCTAGAGGCCCCCCCAGCTGTGGGACACTACAGTCCCCCTACCTAGGGCGTCCCTTGGCTAACAAGACTTCATGCAAAGAAAGCTAAAGAAAGCCCCCTAGGAGGCACACAGCAAGGCCCAGCCCAGGCCGGGGGGTGCTGCTGAGGGTGCCTGCTACCCTCCCCTCCTCTGGCACAGCTGAGGTCCGGGCCCTGGGTCTCATCCAGGCCACCTTGCTCATCTTGGCCAGGGGAACCACTTTGGTTCCTGCAGACTCCGGTCCCAGCGCACCTTTGGGCTCTCTGTCCCCTTGGTTCAGTGATCGCGACCACAGCTGGCAGCCCCCAGACTGGTGTCCCCCTCCTGCAGGCAAGCTGTACTCTCAGAGTGCCAGCTGGCCAATCCGACAAGCCCGCCGGGGTCAGGAGGTGGCAAGGGCTGGATCCTGGCTGCGTCTAGTTGGCAGTCTGACCTCGGCCGAGCCACACCTGTCAAATGTTACAGACAGACTTGCCACGGGAGCCCACGGGCTTTCTAGGAAGGTGCGTGGTAGAGCCTGAAATGCCCAGGTTCTCATCAGAACCTTTTGGGTGTTTCCACCTGGCCCCAAAGGTCTCGGGAGGCTCCTCTAGCATCTGACCCCTACACGCAGGGGGGGACCCTCTGTACTGCCAAGGGCCATATCCATACGTATAACTTCATTTGCAGGCCACATAAAATGATCAACTTAAAAGTTAGCCTGCTATAGGTGTGCTGAATTTGGAGTCCTGCCTGCGGTGGCCTTGGCAGGGCTGGACCCAGTGACTTCCCAGGTCCTACACGGCCCATGGGCCTGGGCTGCACGTTTTCTGCCCCTGGCCTACTTCCACCTCCCTAAGCTTCGCGGCAACCCCAGTGCACACGAGTCTCGGGTTCCCAGTGGAGAAGTCACTGCCACAGTGGGCTTCCAGGCCCTGAGACCCAGTGGGGCTGGGAGGTGGTTTGCAGTGGGGAACGCCGGCACGGCCCCTGAACACAGCCTCCAGGAGCTCTCCTATGCTGAGCGTCAGGTTGGCCCCCAAGGCTCATCAGGATTCTTGTCCCCATTTGCTCAGATCTGATGGGCCCACAGCAAAGCTGTCGGCAATGCCAGCGTCCAGAGCCCCTCTCTGCAGTAGGCAGGAGGTGCCAGTCACTCACAGCCTGGAAAGCACTCTATATAAAAAATATACACACACACACACACATTTTAAAAAACACAAGGCCAGTGCTGTGGCATAGTGGGTAAAGCTGCCTCCTGTAACGCTCACATCCTATATGGGTGCCAGTTCGAGACCCAGCTGCTCCACTTCTGGTCCAGCTCCCTCCTGATGTGCCTGGCAAAGCAGTGGAAGATGACCCAAGTGCTTGGGCCCTGCACCCACCCATGTGGGAGACCCAAAAGAAACTCCTGGCTTTGGACCAGCCCAGCTCTGGCTATTGTGGCCATTTGGGGAGTGAACCAGCGGATGGAAGACCTGTTGCCCTCTCTCTCAAATAAATAAATATAAATAATCTTTTTTAAAAATTAAAAAAAATTTAAATGTGTGCTTTTTGGTTAGTTGGAAGTCATCAGGGAAGTTCTCAGAACGTGGGGACCCTGCCCCCAGCAAGGAAAGCACACATACTGGGTGGGAGGTGATTCCTGAGCATCCCCTGCCCCACGCTGGGCTGTCAGTGGGGCGCAGGACGGAGGCCCGGGATGGGCAGGAGGAGGTGGGTGTAGCTCCTTGCAAACAGGTTTGGAAGACACACCCATAGGAAAGGGAGCCTCCCCCACCCCCACCTCCACTTGACCTTGACAATCTAAGCTTGACTCCCCCACAACCCCCTTCCTGCTGCGTTCCGGGGGTGGCAGCAGGCTGCTCTGGGAGAGCCGGGAAGTGCAGTTGGGGGATGCCCTGCAGACCTCCATCCTCTCCCCATATCCTCCCTTCCAAGGAGCAGGCCTCCCCACTGTGGGGTTCACAGGATTTTCTCACCGCCCCCCTCCCACACCTGCCTCCACCTCCCCACACTGTTCCCATTCTTCAGTCTCAACCCACAACCTGTGCCGTCCAGAAAACCTTCCCCCCCATACGTGCAGCCCACACATCTTGCTTCTGGAAGCTTCCGGCACCCTGCGTACCACTTGCAGCTGCAGCCTCCATACACTGGACATGAGGAGCCTTGCAGTGGCCAGCTTGCTTGTCTCAGCTTTATCCCTAAGGGACACCTGCCCTTGTCACTAACAGCGCTGTAATAGTACCAGTGCGCTGGGCGCTGGACACACACACAATTCTCACTCTTCCGCTCCCTGGGCAGCCAGGGAAGCCTGGGCACGGAGGGGTCTCTGGGAACCCGGGCCATGTCTGCAAGCAGGCAAGTAGCAGGGCCTGTGTTTTCCCAAGGGAAGTCTGGGTGCAGCCTCGGGCTTATTTCTGACGATTGTTGACTGGTTTTTGGGGTGTCGTCTGTTGGCGTGCGCGAGGCCGGTCGGATTCTTCCCCAGGAACCCCCGCCCCCACACCTACCCCTAAATGACTGAGGTGCTTTCGAAGCTGCTGTCCCAAGATGGGGCGCCCAGGGGGACACTGCTGACACCAGGGGGCAGCATTGGCCAAAAGTTTTCAGCGCTGGGTCTGCAGCTGAGTCAAGTAAAAACTTAAAACTTTTATTTCTGGTACAAATGATAAATACTTTGCATTAAAAATCTGGAATTCAAGTTTTCTGCATACTTCACACTCCCTCCCCGCCCCAGAGCCTGACAAAAACATCTCTGAGTAGAGGGGACAGAGCTGGTGCCGGCTCTAGGGGCCAAGTCCGGGGCTGGGGCTGGGCTGGGGCCGGGAAAGGCACGTGGTCTGTCGGTGGTGGTGGTGGTGGTGGTGTGGGGTTGGGGGTGGTCTCTGCCTGCCACCTCACCCAGGCAGCCCGGGGCCAGCAATGAGAAGGCGGGGCAGCCAACCCTTCCCAGCAGTGCGCAGGGTGGGGCGTAACAGGAAGACACGCCCCTTAGAATTTGAACCTTGAAGAGTTCCATAGAAGATTCCTCGGCTGTCACATTTTGGTGAGCACTTCAGGGGACACAGAGGAAGGGAAGGGCGCAGGCTTGGCAACACTCCCCCCCCCCCCCCCCCCGGGCGCCGCTCTGTCTCCAACAAGGCACAGGCTGGGAGCAGGGAGGCTGCCTTCCTAAGTGGCCCCGTGACGCCACCCCCCTGCCCTTCACAGTGGCGGGAGATGGGGCTGGGGGTGCCAGGGGCCAGGCCAGCAGGGGAGGGGAGGGCAGCCCAGCGTCCCGGCCGGGGCCCACCCCTCCCGCCAGCCCAGCTAGGGGTCCTCATCCCAGAGGCACAGCTGCCTCTGGGCCACGTAGAAGTCGAAGCTGTAGCTCTTGCGGCAGCTGCGGATGCCACACTTGTAGGGCGCGGGCCGGTCGCGGCCGTGGCAGTACTTGAGCATGCAGGGGTACCAGGCCAGGCTCAGGCCGTAGCGGCACACGCAGGCCTTCCCCCGGTCGCCCTGCTGCCCACAGCGAGGCAGCTGCGCCTGCGCTGAGGGCTTGGGCAGAGGCTCGAACACGGAGCTGTCCACACCTGGAGGAGAGAGGCGAGAGGCAGGGGTCAGGGAGGCACCCAGGGCACAACACCCCCGGCCGGGGGCCATGGCCCTGCCCACTCGGCCTCCTGACATCCAGCTGCCATCTGCAGACGGCAGCTGCGGGGCTGTAAGCCCTGGGCACCGGGTTCCCCATGGGGCTTGGGGGAGACACGCTGAGCAGCAATGACGGTGCCCCCATCGTGGGTCCCCACGAGCTGGGCTTTCATCGCTGCTATTGTATAGATGAGAAAATCAGCCCCGAGAGGTTTAGCCACCTGGCCAAGGCCACACAGTAAGAGCGGAGGCAGGACAGGGGCCCTGCACTTGGCCACGTCGTCACCTGATGCTCTGTGATCGCTCTGTGCTGCAGCCACAGCAGAGCATGGGGTGAGGGTGCCAGTGTCTCCCTCCCATGATAGAAGGACACTTCTGTGTCTTGATAAGGGCAGGGACAAGGAGGACTGAGTGGGGATCCCTCCCCAGGCCTAGCACAGTCTGTGTGTCCCTGCCTGGAACAGGTCCCTTCCAATCTGCCTGGTGCTTCTCACTCAACAGCTACACAGGCACCACTTCCTCCAGGAAGCCTTCCCTGACCAATCCCAGCCTGGTTTAGAGGTTCCTCCCCTGACAACCCACTGAGCCTCAGGCTCATCGCTGGCCTCTGTCTCATGGAACCCTTTCTGGGTCTCCTCCCGAGGAGGTTCCGGGAAGACAGGAGCTGGGTGCCTGTGTCCTGTGTCAGACGCTTCTCTGAAGGTGCACGTCAAAGAGCCGGTCAGCCCTGGGGCCCTCCCCCGACCGACCTTGCTCCAGCCAGAACCGCACGTCCTCCTGGCGGGTGTAGATGGCGTCCGCAGCCTCGGCGCACACGTTGTGGAGGTGGGGGCTCAGCAGGCCCCCCTGGCTGAAGTTGACGGCGACGTCCATGTGCAGCTGCTCCAGGCCCCGCACCTCCTCTGCCTGCCGCACGGCCCGCGGGTTTTTCTGTGTGTACAGGAGGAGCCACTCCCACATGGCCTCAGGATGCTCCCCTCATCCCCGGGAGCCCCTCCCGATGGCGGGGAAACTGAGGCCCAGGGTGCAGCCTAGCCTTCTGGTTTCTATCTCCGGGAGGGGCTGCTCTCCGGCTATCTGTGCAGGGGCCCTGGGACTGATCTCTGGGCGTGATGGAGAATTCACAGGTGTTACTGGGACAGGGAGGCGGGCAGGCCAGTGAGCTGTCCCAGGACACGTGACCTCCAGGGCCATGCGCTTCTCCACATTCAGGGAACAGAGTCTCTCTGGGGAGGGCACTCAGTGGGGAGGGCCTTGCTGGAGAGGCCGGGGAGAGGGCATGAGGCAGGGAGAGGCCCAGGGCCTGGGAAGGCACGCGAGCAGGGCAGCAGGCTGAAGGGTTTTGAACACTTCACATCGTTATTAGCTCCAGGACTTCTCTCTGTAACCCATTTCTGCAGTGGAAAATGGGCTGGGGCAGGCATTGTGGTGCAGCTAGTTAACTCGCCACTTGGGGCACCTGCATCCCATATCGGACTGCAGGTTCAAGTCTGGGCTGCTCCACTTCCCATCCAGCTTCCTGCTAACATGCCTAGGAAGCAGCCAATGATGGCTCAAGTGCTTGAGTTCCCACCGCCCATGTGAGGAGACCCAGTTGCAGTTCCTGGCTCCTGGCTGCAGCCTGGTCCAGCCATGGCTGGTGTAGCCATTTGAGTAATGAATCAGCAAATGGAAGACCTGTCTCTCTGTCATCTGCCTTTCAAATAAGTCAGTTGATTTAAAAAAAAAAAGCAAAAAAAGAACATACATGGGGGTTTTGAGGGTGAGTCACTTGTGCAGTGCCACCTGCTAATGAGAATGCAGGAGGTGTGATGCACGGTGCGACACTGCATCCTGAGCCCCAACCTCTGTGACAAATGGGGAGATCTGGGCAGGCGCTGGAGTAATCTGGGAGTTGGTGGTTCAGTGTGGCGCGATTAGGGATATGGACTCAGGAGGCCAGGGACAAAATCAGGGCTTCTGGGCTCTATCGTGAATGAGATGCAGAGGGAGAGACCTGGGCGGGAGGCCGAGCTGGGGTTGGGGGTACCGGGTGAGGTGCTGGGCAGGGCAGACCTGGGGTGGGCACTCACCTGCCGGAGCTTGGCCATGGCCTCACTGGGGATGATCTCATTGTGCTGCAGCCGGGTGACAAAGCAGAGCGCCTGGAACTGACTCTGCCCCTTCTCCAGCTCCCCCAGGATCAGGGCCCGGAAGATCTTCACGTCCTGGAGGGCAGGAGGATGGGAGAACAGCTTAAGAGAGCGGGTCTCCCTGCAGGCCCGCCCTGGTGCTCAGCTCAGGCCCGGAGAGGACACACCTGTACCCTACCCCACAACAGACCTCTCCCTCCTACTGGCCGAGCAATTTTTTAAAGATTTATTTTTTCGAAAGGCAGAACTACAGAGAGAGGGAGAGACAGAAAGAGAAAGAGGTCTTCCATCTGCTAGTTCACTCCCCAAATGGTCACAATGGCTGGACCTGGGCTGGTCTAATGCCAGGAGCCAAGAGCTTCTTCTGGGTCTCCCACATGGGTGCAGGAGCCCAAGGACTTGGGCCATCTCCTACTGCCTTCCCAGGCGCATCAGCAGGGAGCTGGATCGGAAGTGGAGGAGCTGGGACTTGAACCAGCAGCCATATGGGGCACCATGTTGCAGGCAGAGGCTTTACTGGCTATGCCACAGCGCTGGCACCCCCAACCTAGTGATTTTTGAAAATAAATTTTTAAAAATTGAGAATCAGAGACACAGGTAGAGGGACAGATACCTACAAGAGAGCTCACCTCCGCTGGTTCATGGCCAAAGCCCACGGTGGCTGGGGCTGGGTGAGCAGAAGCTGGGAACTGGGAACTCATCCCAGATCTCCCCCCAGGGTCTGCACTGGCAGCAGCTGGGGGCAGGAATCAAACCCAGGTACTCCTTCTGGCACCCGGATTACTCACAGCTGGTGCTTCCCCAAGGTCACCCTGATCCGGGTGGGTCAGGGCCCCCCCAGCCACCTGACCAGGGCATCATGGGGAAGGGGCTGCCATCTTCCAGTTTGACCTTATGGTTCGGGTCTGGGGCGGGGTCTCAGTACTTCTGCTCAGCCTGGCTCCCTGCCGCTGGCTTGGGTCTGGGTAGCTCTGGGCAGGAGCACAGGCTGGCTGCAGCTGTCCCGCCTTCCGGCCTCAGGGGCAGGGACAGCTCACCTCTCCCTAGTTCCCCTTCCTCTGTGGGGTTACTCACGGCATTCCCCGCCATGGGCTCCTTCCTGTTACTGACTCACTGCGTGAGCAGGGCAGTCGCGGTGGGTAGAGGGAGAGGGCCACAGCATGGGACGGGACCTCCTTCCCACCCTGGCTGCCAGAACCCAGTTCCCACCGGCTCTGTGCCTTGGCTAACTGCTCCCACGAGAAGTTGGCAGGTCTGAGTGAGAACTGGTCTCAATTTGTCAGGATCCCCATCCTCCACCCCCACGGCACTGGGCATGCACAGCTGGGGGTAGCCATGCCCCAGCCTCCCCCACTCCACAGCTGAGACCCCCACGGACTGCGTGCTGACTCTGCAGCTGCTAGAGTGTAAGCGTCCCTCGGATTCCAGGTGCAGGCAGTGAGGGGACCGTGTTTCACCCCAAAGCTGCCACGCGTTCGCTAGTGCCGCAGGCTTTCCTCCAACTTCTCTAAGTCTTGTCTGTCAACAGGGTGGGTGGTGGTGAGGACTGCGTGAGTTATCTGGAAGGTGCTCCAAGTGCACGCTGGGCTTGCTGTCATCTCTAAGATCAGCTGACTCCGCAGATGACCGAACCCCCCAGTGCCTGGCGCCTCCCAGATCCCCACGAATCCCTGCACAGCTCCATCTCTCTGTCGGAGCTGCTCCAACCTCCTCCTCCTGTGACAGTGCGGGACAAGTACAGGGAGAGAGTTCCCCAAGAGGGAAGCTGAGCCCTCACCCAGCTGGTGAGAAAGGTCCGTTAGGTTCCTCTGACCCCAGAGACCCGTGAGGAAGGCGAATCGGAGCTTGGGTTACGCCCACTTCCTCTTGAGAGGAGCTTCCTCCTTGGGTCATGATGCTGGAATCCCCTTGTCTGCCAGCCTGGGCCACCTGATCTTCCCTTCACTCCAGTCTGCTGCGGGGGGAGGGGGCTGGTCCACTGGGGGCACATTCCACTCTGGGCTCAGTTCCTGCTGGGCGAGACCCGACACCACACTTCCCCTCCCAGGGCTTGAGTCAGGCCCCAGGCAGGATCCAAAATGCACCTCCCTGCAACAAAGCTCTGGATGACAGTGACATTCACAACGTCTTCTCTGCTACCTCCATCACATGCAGTGAGCCCCTCACCCCACCCTGCTGTGGTCTGAGCCCTGACGCACCACGACCCCTCCTGCCCGTCTTACCAGGAGAAGGCATCTGAATTGTAGACCGGACCACAGAGCAGGAGAAATCTGCTTGCACTGCCTGCCTGTTAAATAACAATTTCATTGACAACAACCAAATGCCACCTCCCAAATGGGAGCCAGGCCCGGGGTGCAGAGAGGGAGTGAGACCCTCTCATTGCGACAGAGGAGTTCTTGTGCATCTCCTACTGCTGTAGGACACAATGCTGGTAGCGTTTATAACTGGAAGGGACAAATCATTGTCACCATGGGTCAAAAAGGATGCACCATGCTATTTAAAGTCCCCGCAACAACAGGAGGTGGGGACTATGAGCATTCCCGAGTTTGGACCGGGAAGCTTTGCTCAAGGTCATGGGACTGAGAGGAAACATAACTGGAATTTTAACCCAGGCAGACGCACTCCAAAGCCCAAGTGCTTGTACCCAGAATGCACACTGCCTAGGGGATCCACAAGCCCAGCGTCTCTGGTGTCCAACTAAAGAGACTGAAGCTTCAGTCCTAGGGCTAGTGTGGCCTGTCCTAGCTGTACAGTGAGTGGCGGGGGCAGGATTAGAACCCAGGTCACTCTTCCCATCATGCCCGTCCGGCAGCAGCATGGGTATCCTCCACACCCTGCTTGGGGGGACCATGGCAGCTGAAGGACTGACAGCACCATGCACAGAGAAGACAAGGAGCCAGGAACCCCCTGCTGCCCGGCCTGCCCACCCTGCCCAGTCCTTTCCACACCCTCGTTCCCCAATTTTCTCAGTCCTCTTTCTCCAGAAAACCACACTCCCCGTGCTGGCCCCCAGGGGCAGAGCGAGCCCTGGTCACTGGATCCAGGGCCCCCCTTTTCCTGCACACAGATGGAAAGGCAACGTAAAGAAGCCCCCAGCTTCGGGGACCGTCTGGCCAGACGGACGCCTGGCTTCCGACCTTCCTCCACCCCCGGGAGTCCCCTGCAATGATTCACCCGGATGTGGCCCACAGCCCAAGGCTGATGGCATAACAAGGGCAAGAGCCCGTGGCAGGGGCAGGAGGCAGACTCCTTGGAATCTGGACTCCCAAGATGCTTCCGGAAGGCTCCCCCTACCCCACCCCCGCCGTGAGCACCCAGGACCCTCCAGTCCACCAGGAGCAGCAGGAACCAGGAAGAAGTGGAGCCCATTGCAGCCAGGGCCAGGATGCGGGCCATGCAGTGGGCGCGGCAGGAACGCCACAGAGACAGTGCTGGCTACAGTCCGCTCTGCACTTGTAAGTGAGGAGCGAGCAATTCTGGGACAACACAGGAGTTGAGAACAAAGCTCCGGAGCCAGCACCACCTGCGTTCAGGCCCTGGCCTTAGTGCTACGAGCCACAGGGCCACGGGGGAAGTGACTGCAGCTCTCTGTACCTGCAAAGTGACGGACACGACAGGACCAACCTCCGGGGATGGTTGTTACAAGGAATGAGTGAGTGAAAGGTCTCGAATGCAGCGGGCTGAACCCTTCCAGTTCCCTCCTGTGGCTGCAATCCCTGGCCCCGTGTCCACCTCACTCCAACCAGAATCCACTCCAGCGGGAAGGAGTAAAGATTTTTCTCCTGAGATGCACCTGTGGTCTAGACGGGTCAGGTCACTCCTCTGGGGCCTGCAGGGAATCAGCAAATCAGTGGGCCAGTGCTGCTGAGCACTGCCTGGGCCAGGCCGGGTGGAGGTAGGGCCGAGACCTAGGCCCTTCTTTTCCAGGGCTCAGAAATGAGGCTGACCTCCGGTAACCCAAGCCAGGGCCCCACGGTGAGGCCTAAGGTTGAAGTTTATGCTGAGTGCTATGGAGCCAGAGGGTGGATGCTGGGGCACTCGAGGTTCCTTTAAGGAAGGGGCCAGGGGTGCAGTGAGGGAAGGAAGAGCTCCCTGGCAGTGCAAGCATGGAGGGCTTCCCAGGGGAGAGAAGACAGGGGGCGTGGCGGGCTCCCAAAGCCCCCACCCAAGTCCCTCCTCCATGCTGCTGTCACCTGAGCTGCCTGATGCCCACCAAAGGCTCCCTCTGTCCTCCCCACAGGACACACCTCCCGAGGCTGGCAGCCAGTGCAATGTTTGCACGCCCTTTGCACTAAACCGGAAGGCGTGCAGTTCCCAGAATGAGCAGCGCCATGTCACCCCTTGTGCCTTCCCACAAACTGACCGTTCCGCTGGAATGCCTGCAGCCCACGCTCCAGGACTCAGCGCGAGTGTACCCCCTCCCCGGGCACCAGGCTGCCCTCAGCAGCCCTGCGGTGCCAATCCCACTGCTGTCCCCCCTTCCACACTCAACCTCTTGGGGCTGGAACAGGGTCTCATTTGCAGTGCATCCCTGCCCTGGAACACAGCAGGCACTCACCAAGTGCCTGGGAACAAATAAACAGGGACCAAACAAGAGCATGGGAGGGCAATGGGTGCGGAGGCTGCCGCCGGCCCCCGGGGCAGGACATGGGTCTGGGGGCCCAGGCTGAGGCCTCAGCTCTTCACCTTAGAGATCACAGCAAATCGCTGGTGGGTTCTGAGCTGCAGGGTGGCATGGGTGGGTCTGTGGTGTAGAGTTCAACCAGACTCAGCCCGAGACTGGCAAGCACTGGGCCTAAAAGCCTGGCCGGAGGGCTCCTGTCCTCACTGGGCATCCAGGCCCTCAGTGACCTGGCCCAGGCTCCGGGACACTGATTCCAGGTTATTTTTGCCATAGCCCCAGGATCTGGCACAGCACAGAGGCTTAGCACTTGGTAGCTGGGTTAATGAGCGGATGCTTCCTCAAGCCCCAGGCTTTCTCTTCCAGGCCTAGCCTGTAACTGGGCTCCTGCAGGCTGGTACCCCTACAACTGCTATCTTGGCTTCTAGAAGGTTCAGGAGTCCTTGGCACAGTGAGGCTCCCGCAGGGGACATGACCTTCATCAGCCACACAGCGGCTGAGCCAGCACCCGAAGCCCTGACCTCTTAACTTCCAGTCTGGTGATCCCCAAGCTCTCCCCCTGCACCATGCTCAGCCCCACCACAGATCCGGCGCCTCTGTGCCCACTCCCTGCCGCACTGTCGGTCCCCGAGGGAAGGCTGCGTTGGCTCAGCAGTGCTGGGGCTCCAGTGGGCGTGCTGAGAGGGCAGAGGGCTGCACAGGTGGCCTGTGCCAGGCCCCCGACGCTCCTGTCTGGGAAGAGAGGCCTGCGGAAGCTTGGTGTTGGGAGCGGGTGGGGAGCGGGGAGCTGTCACAGCAGCCGTCCACGCTGGCTTCCAGGACCAGCGGCGGGGCGGGGTAGGGGGCGGTGTGCACACTGTTTTGCTTCAGCGGCAGTCCTTGGGGTTTTGTGTTACTCGCAGCCATGTCTAATCTGGACTGATACACACAGACGGACACCTGCCGTCCGCATTCACAGGCCCTGCGTCCGCACAGCCTCACTATTTGTTCTCCAACTGCTGTGTCTCATCCCCCTAAGTCCTACACGGGCCTCCCATTCCATGGTCCCACTGCCCCCCCAACCCCCTCTCCCTCTCTGACGCTCCGCAGTCTCGTGCCCAGCTCCCCCTGCTCACAGGCACCCAGCTGCAGGTGGCCCAGCCTCCTCTTGCCCTCTCTGGCCCTTCCTGCCCCCTACGTGGGGCTGCTCCTCCCTCTCGGGGTGCACTCCCCCCAGTGGTGCCTCCTCCAGGAAGCCTTCTGGGGCACACATGGTGAGGTTCCCCCCACCCCAGGCCTTGCCAGCACCCCGGGACCCGCAGGCACTGATTGCGCTTTCTCCCTCCCCCCTGCCTCATCCTGCTCCTGGACAGCTGGCGCTCGCTCTCCCCTGGGAGCGTCCTCCGCCTTCCTGCTCTCCTTTCCACCACCAGAGCTCGTGATGCTGGGGCCCAGGCTGAGCCAATCTAAATATTTATCCCTCTGCTCCTGCCTGGGGCTGCTTTACGGCTAGAGAAGGGTCCAGCTTCGGTGGGCTGGGGAAGGGGAGAGCCGGCCAGGAGTCGGCACCGTCCCAACCTCATCCTCACGGCCCCGTGGCTGCTGCGCCCAGACTTCCTGTGCAGGAGAAGGGGTGGATGGATTCAGCCCAGCGCCAGGCAAGCACACCCCCAGGCTGCGGCCGGGCCACTTGGGCCGCCCCCGTCATGAGATGCCCGGATACCTTCGGGGCCAGGCCCCGCACAGAGGCTTCTTGTTCTGAGGCAGTGGTGCAACTGCTAGACAGGAGCAGTGCCCCCTACCGCCAATCCCCCCGTGCCCCGTCAGCCAATCCCAAAGGTCACCACTGTCCCGACTGCCCCGGGAACAATGTGAGGCTTTATGCGGATCAGTTGCGCCCCACGGTCTCGCTGACTCAGGGCTCCGAAGAAGGGGCTGCATGCCTCCCTCTCACCCCCAGCCCCAGCCCCTGCCCCGATTGCATCGCCAGTGGCAGCCAACTAACTGAAAGGAAGCACGCTCCCAATGATGCTTTCATTCCTGGAGCAGAAAACAAGCAGCCGCCCTGAATCTGCTCAGCAGGGGCCACTTGGGCATCCCCCGCACTGGAGTTTCGCCTCTCGTAAGTGGCCACAGCCTCTGCTGCGCTGGCCCTCTTGGTGACGGCTCACAGCAAGCCCCGAGCATCACATCACAGTCCCTGCCGTCCAGGCAAGGAGCCTGGGGCTCAGAGAGGTGAAGTCACCCACGGGGAATGCACACAGGGAGTGCTTGGCAGTGTCTGTGTCTTCACAACCATTCCCCCTCCGCCACACCCGCCACAGGTCACTCAGGGGTGGGAGTCTCAGGCAGGGCCAAGTCTGTCCCCAGGGAGTTGGGAGCCAGAGGAGGGGCTTGCTGGGGATGGGTTCCACGCCCTGAGGTCATGACGTGTGCAGACAGCCAGCTCACAGGCAAGGATGCCTAGGGGCCTCATCCCGGATCCTCAGCTGCTCAGTGTTGGCAAAGCCGCACAGGACCGCACGGGATCTCTGGCTTTCTGTGTGCACATCTGAAAGATGCCGGCGCTCTCTGCCTCAGGGCTTAGGGAGGAGGGGGCCATGTGTGTGGTCTGAGTGACCACTCAGCACGGATACCCACCATGCGATCCTCACCTGAAAGCTGGGTCCCCCTCAGCCTGTCTGGGGGATAGGAGTCTGTCCCGAGTTTAATGACCACTACCACCACCTTTCCGGACCTGGGGCTGCCTGGGAGGGAAGCACCATACCCCCACCCTCCCCACTGTCCTCCCCGCAGGCCACGCTGGGCGGTCTCCCTGGCCTGCCTGGATCTTCTTCTAGAACTCTCTCTCTGGACATGGCAGTCAGGCGTGAGAAGGTCCGCGTCGGGACCCTCCAGCCAAGGCTGCTCTGCCCTGACCCACGTGCAGGAGCCGGTCACTCGGCCCGGTGACTTCTCGTAAACACTTCCAAGGAAGGCTCTGGGTCTCCCCGGGACCCACTCTGCCCTCTCCTCCCCAAGACGACTTCCTGTCCACGCCATGCCCCACACCAGACTGGGAGGGGTCTGTCACGGGTGGGCTGGGTCCTCAGAGCTCACCTGTGTGACAGGACCTCCCCTTGGGGAATGCAGCCACGCGCACCCCACATCTCCCAGGCATCCTTGTCACCTCCACCCCCAGGGCTGGGCCTCAGGTCCTCTGCCTCCCCCTCAGCACCTAGGGCCGGGCCCAAGCTTCCAGCCCCTGGGCCCTCTGAGTGGCCCGAGCTGGCCACCCCGCCATGAGGCTCTCCTTATCTTGCTTCTTCCCTCCAAGGCTGCAGCCCCGGGGCCCTCGTGGCTCCCTCCTCCCACCCTCCTGGAGTCTGAACCCTCCGCTTCCCGTGCACCCCCGGCCCCCACGCAGCCACACAGGACTCTGCAGATCTCTCCCCCCCACACCTCCATCCGGCCAGCACAAAACTGCCTGGAAGCTGACTCATCCCTTCCCCAGCTTTTGGACACTGGGGGTGGCGGGGCACACACACCAGCCTGAGGGGAACCAAGATAGCTGTCAGACAAACAGCTGGGTGAGAGATGGGGGGCGGGGTCAGGCCTGTGATTACACATGCCCGGGGATTATGGACATGAAGAGCTAATTATCTACATGGGATTGGGCTTACAAAGAAGAGCATCAACTATTGATTGTATATTACGAATTAAAGTTCCTACACTGAGGCCAGGTAGCAGTCACCCTAAAGTATATACACACTGCTATAAACCCATTAGGGTGATTGTGGATGGAGTGACAGGTGGCAAATATATGAGTGGGTCTGGGCCCTTCCTCTGTTTAACAGGCTAACCTGGGTTCTGTACCAGGTGCCCTGCCCCTCCTGGAGCAGCTGTGCCCGCGGCCCCAACCTTTGCTGCACATGGAATCACCTGACATTCTTTAGCGGCTCCTGCTGCCTGGCTCTCACCACTCACGGGGAAGGGAGTGGAACCAGGGGCGGGGACTTGTCAAGCCTCCCAGATGATGCCACCGTCATGCTTTTCGAGCTGCAGCTCGGTCACCTGGTGGACAACCACCCGTGGACAGGGCCTGTCGTGATGCCTCATGACCGCTGGATAGCACCAGGCCCCTCACGCCTCACCTGGGCTGCAGGCTGTGCCCTCTGTGGCCGGTGGCTGTGACAGCTTTGAGGGCTGGACGTGGGGGTGTGGGGGGAGATTCAGATGGAGCTGGAACCCTGCCTGGGGCAGAGGCAGACAGGGCGGGTGGAAGGCGCCAGACAGAGGGAGGCTGGCGGGGATGAGCTAGACAGGGGGCTGTGTTCCTCTCAGCACCGTGGCCCTGGACAGCCCATCAGCACATGGGCGGTTGCTCCTGCGTGGGCCGGAGATCCTGGAGCTTCCAGGAGAAGGGGATGATGACGGACTCCAGGCTGGGGGCTCAGGGCCGCCTTTTCCGGGTGACCTGCAGCCCACTGCTGAACCTCGGCAGGGAGAAACGTGCTGGGATGCCCCGTGAGCCACAGCTACGGCCGCTCGTGGCTGCTACTTCTTGAGCAGTTAGCACAGTATCTGATCTGCACGACCTCGTCCAGTTCTCCCAACAACCAGGGCATAGGTACTATCGCCCCCATTCTACAGATGAAAAAATGAAGGCTTGGCGAGACCCAGCAGCTTGCCTGAGGTTGGCCAGCTGATGAGGGGTAGACCAGGTGTGTCTCATTCAGCCCAGACTGTCTCTCTCCCAAAGGTGACCCAATTCCCTCTTCCCAAGCAGAGCAGGGGCTGTTCCCCGACTACTCCCAAATGGGCTTGGTCCAGAAACAGAGTTTGCAGGCTTAAGAAAAACAAGACAAAAAAAAAAAAAAAAAAAAAAAAAAAAAACAGGAAAAAGCACTGCTTCTAAACAGGACTTTCTGGTGGAAATCAGCCCAGGACTGTGAGGCGCGAGGCCTTGAGAACCGGGAGGTGCCCCATGCGGGGGGAGGGAGCACACAGCAGCGGCTTTGGCCAACGGGGCAGCAGACTCGGCTGGGGGAAGGGGAGAGGTGACGGTTCCCTGTGCTCCTGCCCAGGCCAGCGGGAAAACTGGTGTTGGAGGGGACCCTGGAGGGCTGATTCCTCTCCTGTTCCTTCTGCTCCCCACTCTGTCTCTTGCTGATGAAACTGGAGATGCCAGGGGCAGGGGTGTGTGTGAAACCCCAGCTTCTGGGTCAGAGGCTAACCTGAAAGGCAGACTTGGAGACCTGGGCGGGGGGCTGAGCCACTGCGGGGGATTAAACTGAGGGGCCTGCAGCCAGCATTGAGTGTGCTCTCTAATGGAGTGGTTGGGGGCCCACCATACCCTCAGCCCCAGGCCCCCGCCGCCATTGCCGGCCACCACATCACCTGAACTGTGCCAGCCACAGCCACCTGGGCTCTCCCTCTTCTCCCCCTCCAAGGCAGAGCAATAAAAAAATCTTCCAGCTGTAGCTGGAGGCTATAAAAGCTGAGCCCTACCCAATACCTTTCACTGCCCAGGCCAGAGCCTCAGCCCCGGCGGCTGGGGAGGGCGTGGGGATGGGAGCGCCCCTCTCCAGGGTCCCCCAGCATGGACACAAGATGCCAGCCAGCGGGCAGGAGACTGGGGGAGTCACAGCTTGGCCTGAGGCTCATTTTCCAGGACAAAGGGCTTCCATAGAGGCGGGACCCCTGCCCCCTGATAGGCCACCTTGTTTTAGATTTTCCAGGAACCGAACACACTCATCAAAATTCCCCTGCAACTCAGGTCACAACTGGTGCTGTCCTCTCAGCATCCCTCTCTCCACCACACACGGCTCTGCCCCTGCCTGCAACTGCAGACCTGGCTGGGGCCTGCTGGGTAAGGAGGAGCACCAAGTCTTCCATCGGTGACAGCCCCCGGCCACCACAGGTCCACCTACTCTTCTGTCTACTCCTCTATGGCCCTGGGAGAAATCCGCAGCGCCCCCCCCCCCCCCCCGGCTATGGCAATCTGCCTGGGTCCAGACTCTGACCCCTCTTTCCGCCAGCTCCCACTATCTATGTGGGGAAGAGAAAGTGGTGGTGGCTTCCCTAGTGGTCTCACCTCTGCAGGCCCTCACCCACCTGGCCTCTTTGTACCCAGGTGGGTATGGGGGCAGGAGAGCTGGAGAATCCCCTTTGAATACCTAAAACTCAAGTGTTTCCCACCAGGCTGGGTCACTCACACCTTCAGGCACTTTATAAAGCTCAGCACCTCCCCTCTCCCTCACCTCCTTGGGGACCAATGTCCACCTCCTTGTCCCCTCCACAAGACACACACACCGGGCAGAGGCTCACCTGGCAACCCCACAGCCCCAATCTGGGTCCACGCCTGGAGGCCGCTCAGCCTCCCTGGGGTCCCTCCCCAACCGAATCCTCCTGCTCCAAGGGTGCCCCCCTTCCGGAGCAAAGCGGACAGTGTCTCTTTTTCTCCGGACTGTTGGCTCTGCCCGGGAAGGTGCCACAGAGCAGAGACATGGTTCAGGGACTCCCAAGGTGTCAGCGCTGAGAGGCCTCCAGGTACCTCAGGGCTCCGCCCACAGGCGACAAACCAGACCCTTAGCGGGATCCCCGAGAACCCAAGACCTCCCACCCCTAGCCCAAGACGTTGTCCACTAGAGTACGGGGAAATGACTCCAAGAGGCGCGGCGGCGCGAGTAACGCGCATTCGTGGGGGGAAGGCGGGCGGCGCCTGGAGACCCTGGGAGCACCAAGGAGCAAGTGGGAAGAGGGTCTCCTCCGGGAGCGCCCACAGCCAAGCCTGGACGCACGGGGGAGGGGTGGAGTTCGCCGGGGCGGATGGAGGGGCCAGAGCAAAGCTGTGGCGAGAAGAGGCTAGCGCGACCCTGGGTGAGTTCCGTCCGGCTGCTGGCCCGAGGGCGACGCCCCTCCAGGGTCCCACCCTGCGAGCGAGCGAGCGAGCCTCACCTTCTTGAAGTCGGCGGTGAAGGAGACGAGGGTACCGTCTGGCTTGCGCAGCTCCAGGCTGATGCTGTCCGCGTCGCTGTCCGCTTGCAGGCTCTCCTCGGTCACCTGGCCGTCGGGCAGCCGCACGCGGACCCGCAGCTCGGCCGGCGCGCCCGCCCCCACGCCCCGCGGCGCCCCCAGCAGCGGCAACAGTAGCGGCAGCAGCACCAGCAGCAGCAGCGGCTGCAGCGCGGGGCGCGCCGTGGGGACCCCGCGATCGCCGGGGGCGCGCATCCCCGGGGGCCGCCGCGGGCCTCCGCGGCCCCGGCGTGCCGCGTGGGGGCGGGGAGAGGCGCTGGCAAACTTCGCCCGAAGTTGGGGGCCGGTTCGCGGTGCCCGGGCGCAGATTTTCGCTACGTGGCGCGGACGCACGTGGGCTGCGCTGCGCCGCGCCGCGCGCCCCCCGGCGGAGACCGCGCTGCTCAACCCGCCAGCCCGCCCCGCGCCGCGGCCCGGGCCCCCGACTCCAGCGCTCGCGGACTCTGTTTTGCACTTTTCATTCAATCCCACCCCCCGTCACTTCCTTCAGAAAACAGAAACCACCAGGACCTGCCTTAAAGAGACCGCGCACCTCTCGGCCTTAAAGGGCCCGCGGCGGCTCCGCGCGCAGCGGAGCGGCCCCGGCGAGGCGCGGGAGGGGCCCGCTAGGCGGCCGGGTGGGAAAGGCCTTCTGATAGGCCGCCCCCGCCCCGCACACCCCTTCCTTCTACCCGGGGAGGGACGGGTGATTTGCCCTGCCCCTTCTTTTTTCTTTTTCTTTTTCTTTTTTTTTTTTTTTTGGCTGGTTCTTGCGCCATGTGGATGAAATAATCGGGCTTGGGGTTTCAGGGGTTTTGTTTGGTCTTTTAGTTTCTCTGACACAGCAGATTTCCAAAATGCGTCTGCAAAATCGGACCTCACCTCGTGCTCCGCCTTTTTCCTGCCCTAGGTCCGAAGACTGGAAGCTGGGTTGGCGCCACTGTTGACAGGCGTCAGCTCTCTGGCCGGGCAGGACACACGAAGCTCCCACCTTGCTGAGGCCCTGGGCAGCTGGCGTGTTCCTCACTTCCCCCAGTCACAGCCTTTCCTCCTGCAGGCTCCAGTCCCTCTTGCGGTAACACAGAGAGCAGACCCAGGGAAACCTTAAGACTCCAGGCCACTGGGGGAAATTTGGGGCACTGGGTCTCTACCATTTGGGGCTCTCCCACAAGTGACAAAGAGATGGACCTGGCCTGCCACTCAGCCCAAGCTGGAGCCGGGGCAACACTGGGCCGTCTGCACTCCTGCGTCCTCTGAGCAGCCGGGTCATTTGGGCACACCTGAAGAGTGCTGTGGGCTCAAGAGCCCACGTGTGGGTGGTGGGGGAGATACTGTCTGGCCAGCTCCAAGCAAGAGAAAGCCCCGGAGCATGGCCAGAAGCGTGTTCCCTGGTGTCCATCTGCACTTCTGTTTGCATCTCCATAGATAGGATCCAAGAGATGACCTAACTCAAGGTTTTCCAAATTTGACTTAACAAGATGTTTAAAAACATAGATCTCTGGGGTCCTTACATCTATGGAATTAGGCTCCCTGGGGAGAAGAAAAGAAACTTGGCATTTTAACAAGGGTCCACATGCTTGACATAAAGGACTGATAGACGGCCCTTGACAGGGTGTTAAGTATGGAGGATCTATAAACCCAGGGCTGGGAGCTGGGGACCCACCTGTCCCCTAAGGGCTTTATCTGCATGTTAGGGAGATAAGGCAGGCTGTGCACAATAATTGGATTAGCATCAGGATTGCTCCCTGAGGGGCTCCCACCCTCAGCTGGCAGGACTGCAGATGAAAGATGCACAGGGCCTCCACACTGGCTGCAGCCCCCCAGCCGGCACAGCCAGTATCAGGGCCTGGGCCCCCTTCCTGAATTCCCGGTTTCAGGCCCTGTCCAATCCATCCCCAGCTCTGCCCTCAGGCCTGTTCCCAAATCCCTCCCCAGCTCTTCCCCCCACCCCACAAGAACCCAGAAGAGGTAGGAAAAGGAGCCCTTGTTGCCTGATTTCTTTTTCGGGCTGGCTGCCTCCGTGAGAATCCTGGGCTTGGAAACAAGGGTGGAAGACCTCATCTCTTTCCCGCCCTCCCCCTCTTCTCCAGACCCCGTTTCCTTCCCTACTTCACTCATCAAGTCAGGGTTTTCTTTTAAAACAGTTTGACGTCTGATGCCATTCCCGGGACACGCCTGCCTCCGTCCTTGCTCTTTCCCTTGGATTTCACCTACCGGAGGCTCCCAGATCGGACACAAAACCGCCGCTGCCCAGGAAGACTTCCTCGGCATCCCATCACCCTGTAGCTCTGTTCTGAACTTCTCTCTCCTGGCCCTGGGTTCGACACTAACACCATGACGGCATCTCCCATTCAGTGTGTTCTAGTTATGTCTAGGTTCCGTGCCAGGCGTTTTACGTGGCTCATCTCAGTTCATTCTCAGGGCCACCCTGCACCGAAGGTCCTGTCCCTAGCCTCTTCTTACTGCTGCTTAGGGGCCTGGAGCTTACAGAGGTTAAGTACCACACCCAGGGTCGCACAGGTAGCAGAGCCAGCGGGGACTCCCACACAGGTCCACCTGACCGCAAAACCCCTGCCTTTAGCCACAGTGGCATCCGCCTGTCTATCACGCTTGCTTTCTCCGGCCCCCTGTGCGCTCACACGACCCTGCTATCTCTTCTTGTTATCTAACGGTTCCATGTGTGGCGATCTGGTGTCCCCAGTGAGGCTGTCAGTTAGCTGAGTGGGGCGGCCCCGTGCTGGGAAGAGAGAGAGAGCTCCGTTCAACCAGCCGGTACAGAAGCACCCATTCATCTTCGGAGTAAAGGCCGTCAGAGAAAGGGCTCTAACAAGCCTAATTACCCTGACTACAACCAAACAGCCCTCATTGTCAGGGACTTCTTTATGTCCAATCGCAAGCCCTGTGCCACACCATAAACCAATTTCCTTTCCTTTTTCATCGCTAGCCCTGGGAAGGCGGTTGTCACTAGTAGTTCAGAGCAAGGGTATCAGACTTGCAGGGCTGGACCCTGGCTAATCACGAGCTGTGTGGTTCGGGGAGCCTGTCTCTTCATCTGTCAAGTGGGTGCACCACTGCTTCCCTCACTGGGTTGTTTAAACAATTAAATGAAAGATAGTGTAGAAAGCACTTTGCAACATGATTGGCTCAGTAGATGGTAACCATTATTTAATATGGTTTATCCTTTCCCATATGTCAACTACTAAATCCGTATCTGCCTACCTCTGGGCCCCTCACACACACACACATGTACGTGCAGGAACAATTTTTTGTCTCTACCCTCTGTAGGCCTTTTTAGGACCCCTGAAACTGGAAGTGGTCAGCAAGAACCCCCGGAGGCACCTGCCCAGTGATTTGGTAGGAGGAGAAATGCCACGTCATTTCCCAGTCTGTGACCAAGGCCACAGGTGCTGACTGGGCCCTGCGGCGGCTCAGAAAGGGAACTGGAACTAGAGTCCTCGGGGGGGATGCAGGGAGAGTGCAGCAGGCAGTTCGCCTTTGTGACAGTAGGGAGACTTAAAAAAAAAAACATTTATTTATTTGAAAAGCAGAGCCACACACACACACACACACACAGGGAGAGAGAGAGAGAGAGAGAGAGAGAGAGAGAGAGAGAGAGAGTTCTTCCATCCACTGGTTCACTCCCCATATGGCCTCAAAGGCTGGAGCTAGGCCAGTCCAAAGCCAGCAGCCAGGAGCTTCTTCCGGGTCTCCCACATGGGTGCAGGGGCCCAAGCACTTGGCCATCTTCCACTGCTTTCCTAAGAGGATTAGCAGGGAGCTGGATCAGAAGTGGAGCAGCTGGGACTCAAACTGGCACCTTTGTGGGATTCCTTAGCCGCAAGTGGCAGCTTTACCTACTGGGACACAATGCCGGGCCCCAGCAGGGACACTTTCCTTGCCACTTCTTTCTGCAGAGGGCTGTTTGGTTTGAGTCATGCTCCAGGCCCCTCCTTCTCCCTCTTGGTCCTCTTCCCCCCTCCCCTCTTTTTGGACCCTTGTGTCCAAGGAAACCATGGCAATGGGCAGTGGGCAGGGGGCGCTCTCCTTTGCCTCCCAAGGCCAACTGCAAACTCCAAACTCTTCGCTGCTGGAGAAGTGCAAGTTAGGTTTATGGCATCACGTGATTGTGCAATTGCATCAATCAAGGGTGCTGTAGGAAAGTGAATTGGAGAGACAGTGGGGTCGTGAGAGAGGGCTGGACGGCTCAGGGAGGGGACAGTCACTCTTCCCAGGCACAAGGGGACATTCTGATGAAGCGGGGCTGAATCACTGACTTTCAGGGAGAGAACCCAAGGCACAAAGGAGTGATCAGAGCTGCAAGGGAAGGCAGATCTCAGGTCACTAACTCCAAGCCCACGACTCTAAGGTCCTGAATGCAAACATCTCTCGCATCCATGCTGGTTTCAACACGAGGCCTTTCCTGCTCCCTCACCTGGACATCATTCATTCATTCATTCATTCGGTCATCTTGTGCACACACACAGACCCCTACAGTGTGAGTCACTGTGTGGGAGGCTGTGGGTACAGCAGATTGCAGGGTGTATGCAGCCATTCCTTACCCTGGGATGGCACCTGCTGCTGCAGGGGAGTAGGACATTGCAACAATCATGGCACGCACACAAATTTGAATGACAGCTGTTGCGGTTGGTTCCACAGAGGACTAGAGGAGATGCTAGCCCAGACCAGGAGGACTTACTGGGAGGCTTTCCTGGGTCCATCCTAGACTTAAAAGATGATGCAAGATTGATGGACAAAGAGGATGTTCCAGGCAAAGGGAGCAAGGTGGTGTACAGGACATGAGCCTGGTGGCATCCCAGAAACTTCAGCAGGTGGCGGAAGTGTGACAAGGGAGAGGAGTTTGGCAGGGCCAAGAAACGCAGGGCCTTGCAGGCAATGTTCGCGTTTGGGTTTGGCTTTGTTTTCCTCGGAGCAGTGGGCAATCATTGAAAAGTGTTATGCAAGAGGGTGACATGACGAGACGTGTGCATTAAAAAGATTGCTCTGGGAGTGGCTTGAAGCCATCCAGATGAGAAGTGATGGTGGTGGGCTCTACCCTGGTGCTGGCAGTGGGGTGCAGAGAGGTTCTGGGCTTCTGCTGCATTTTGGAAGTAGTTTGATGGTCCTTTGAACTGGGGGCGACTGTGTTGGGAGTTGAGGGCAGTATCTGGTTCTGGCTTGGACAGTGGGATGGGAAACCTGGTGGAGAATCTTGTAGATTACTGTTTTGGTAGCTCCTTGGATACTCCCGTTAGAATGATTGCACAGCACTTATATGTGAAACCAGCGGGAACGGAAGCACAGAGGCCAGCTATTAGTGGTGCCGCTCAGATCAGACACCCAGCATGCTGCAGCCAGGCCTAGCCTCCTTCTTCTACAATGCACAGGGTTTCCATTGCCTGGCCTCTCTTCGAAGTCTCTGGGTACTGGCCCTGCCTGTTCTTCATGGCCACCTCATGCCTGGCACAGTGCCTTGTATACAGCAGGTGCTCAGTGATGCTGTCACCCGAAGCCCTGGGTACCTGGTATTCTGCTATGGGTGCGGGAGCCTCAGGCAGGCCCCTGCCCTCAAGACCCTTGCTGGCCATGCGGTCCACAGAGCATGGGGCCCTCCCGGAGCAGGCGGGGCTGGCTCATCACAAGGGGAGCCCTCCAGCTGTTTTCAGATGTTGCTTCTGCCTCCGGGAAGCCGGAGCCCGGGAGACATGGATGTGGGTCCCTGAGAGCACCTATCCCTCAAGTCCCAACAGTTCCATCCCCAGGGCATACACGCCGAGCCCTTCGACAGTCTGCCTGTAGCCAGAGGGTGGCTCCGGCAGGGCTTGGGTGCCTTGTGCAGATGACATTTGTAATGGGTCAGTACTCTGTCCTGGGTGCAAAGCTCTGAGCGAAGTCAGTTGGCTCTTTTAGCCCAGTGTTGCCCTGCTCTGGCAGATGAATGAATGCACATGTCATGGCTTGGGATGTGATGCCCTGCCCTCTCCTCGGGGGGCTGGGGAGGAGCAGCTGCACCGGGATGGGGCCCATTTGTGGCCACAGCCTTGGCCTGTCCCCCTTTTCCTGTTACAGTTGCTTTAGCATCTCTGATCCCGGGAGCCTGTCTGGTTGATATTACGAGGACTTAGGTCAGAGGGTTGAGGAAGGGCCTCCCATTGCCCAGATGGGGGGAGCCGGGGCCCAGTTCCCAATCTAATGGAAAAGGGGGCTCCCCCTCCCAAACTGGGGGTCTCAGCATCACCATTACCACTCAGGATATCATTTAAAGGTTTGTTTTTCTGAACAACCGGGAGAGATATGCTGTATTGATTGATAGAAACTCATGATGATAAAAGCATACATGGATTTAGTGCATTTCCAATGAACATCCTAATAGGTCTTGAAATAATTTTTTTTACATAGACTTCATTTTATTATTATTATTATTTTATTATTATTATTATTTCATTGTAGAGGAGGTTTAGGTTCACAGCAAAATGGAGCAGGAAGTACAGAGTTTCTGTATACTCTGCCCCCACGAGCGTGGACTCGCTGCTAGGGTGGTTCATTCATGACAGCGTCGCTAGGGTGGTTCATTCATGACAGCGTCGATACATCATCATCACCCAGGTCCGCAGTTGACTCAGGCAAGGTTTCCACTCTTTTTTTTTTCAAATTTATTTATTTGAAAAGCAGAGTTACAGAGAGGCAGAGTCAGAGAGAGAGAGAGAGAGAGAGAGATCTTCTATCCACTGGTTCACTCCCCAAATGGCCGCAATGGCTGGAGCTAAGCCAATCCGAAGCCAGAAGCCAGGAGCCAGGAGCCAGGAGCTTCTTCCTGGTCTCTCATGCAGGTGCAGGGGCCCAAGGACTTGGGCCATCTTCTACTGCTTTCCCAGGCCACAGCAGAGAGCTGGATTGGAAGTGGAGAAGCCGGGACTCGAGCCAACACCCATATGGGAGGCCGGTGCTGTAGGCGGAGGCTTAGCCCACTGTGCCACAGTGCCAGCCCCTCCACTTTTTTAATTGGCCAAAAAATTTATTCCAGGGCCAGCGCCAGGGTGCAGCAGGTTTAGCTACCGCTTACAATGCCGGCATCATGGATGAATACTGGTTTGAGTCCCAGCAACTCTACTTCCAATCCAGCTCCCTGCTAATACGCCTGAGAGAGCTGAAGAAGATGGCCCAAGTGCTCGGGCCCCTGCCACCCACATGGGAAATGGGAAGGAACTGCAGGCTCCTGGTTTTGGCCTGGCCCTGCTCTGGCTGTTGTGAGCATTTAGGGAGTGAACCAGCAGATGGAAGATCTCTATCTCTCCCTCTCTCACTCCTGGCCGTGAGGATGCTCACCCTGCTACCTTGTGGAGTAAACGCTTTGCCTCTGAAACTCACACTGGGGCTACACCAGGCCTCTCCTATCACCCAGCCCTCTCCTGGCCCCGGGAGACAACAAGTTCGAATTCTCTTGCAGGTGACTCACAAGAACGCTGCACCTACCGAAGCTCGCCAGCTTTGGCTTCGTGTTGACTTAATGCCCTTCCCAACGGTAAGTTGAGTTTTCAGTTGGGCCACCCCATTTCCTGCCCTTAGAAGAAAAGACAAATGGGGAATAGAAAGGGTGCCGTTACTATGCCACCCTGTGCACTGGGGTGGTGGCAGCTGCTCTCCAAATACAGCACCAGAGAAGGCACTCCACTACACGCACCTTGCCCACATCGTATCTCGGGCGTGTGCATCCATGAGGAAGTTTCAGAGCACCCAAGGTGAAAAAGGTGGTACTGTGTCTCCCAGCTTCTTCTAGGCACGCTGATGACGCAGCCTGGCTCCCCGAGCGTGCTGTGATGCCTAAGGAGTCTGGCTGGCTGGATGCACAGCTTCTAACCAGTCACCCTCTTGGGGCACCCGCCCTCCAGAAAGAGCGCCTAGGTGGAATCGTTGTGTTGTGTGTGTAGACAACACCTTCGCTTCCAGTGGTGACAAAACCGATGAACGCTCTGGTTTCCTGCCCTGGCTGTCCAGAGCCACTGAAGTTACCAGCAGTGGTGACCGCGTTGATGGCTTCGAACACCTCACCTGTTCCAACCCCTTCCGTGATGGCGGTCGCTCTGCCTAACTCCCGGAGGCACAAGTGCCTGTCATATCGGTGCTGGAGTGCACGAATTCGTCAGTGCAGGCGGAATCACCCCAGGAACAAGTCACTTTCCTGTCGTCTTGCCGGGCCCCTGGCTGCCCCTCGGCGCGTTCCTGGCTCTTGTGGCAGAAGAAAGTTAGCACGTGGTTTAGAAGCCGGAGCAGCGCTGCACAAGCGGATGAAACACTCTCTCCCTCCTGGCCGCCTCCTGCTTCCTCACCTCTGAGAGCTGGGGCCCCACCTCTGGGAACTGGCCCTGTGGAGAGCCAGGGACACCCAGCAATGCCAAGTTTCCACTCTTGGTGCTGAACCTCCTGAGTGTTGACACATGGCATGGTGCAGGATGGTGTCGTGGTCTTGAAAAGCCTCCTGTTTATTCCACTTGTGGAAAGTGCATATCACACTCTCAGTAAAGCCTGAATATGCATTTCAAATTATCCTCTGAGCTTTGTGGCTTTTATGAAATTATTCTTGCATGGCCTAGTATTTCCTGCCCTGTTTTTCTCAATATCGGTTCATACACGTGTCCCTGTATTGACACAGTCTGCACAGGGTTCTTAAAGACTTATTTATTTATTCGAAAGGCAGAGTTATAGAGAGGCTGAAGGAGAGAGAGAGAGAGGATAAGGAGAGAGAGGACTTCCATCGCTGGTTCACTCCCCAAATGGCTGCAATGGCCAGAGCTGGGCCGATCTGAAGCCAGGAGCCAGGAGCTTCTTCCAAGTCTCCCACACAGGTGCAGGGGTCCAAGGACTTGGGCCATCTTCTACTGCTTTCTCAGGCCACAGCAGAGAGCTAGATCAGAAGAGGAGCAGCCGGGACTTGAACCAGCGCCCGTATGCTACCTGCAAAGCCACAGTGCCAGCCCCCACACATGGTTCTTAATAGTTGTAGAGCACACCATGCTGGAAGCAGTTGACAGCTCACTCTAATCATTAGTGTGTTATTATTTTTCTCCTATGTGGTCTTGTGGAAAATACTTAAAATGATACTACGAAGCATGTTTCTGCTGCTTTTTGCAGGAACCGGAGCCTCTGAACATAAGCTGTCACGCATAGCTCCAAGCAGGCCCTAAGACTGAGTGTCCCAAGTCTCTTTTAGGGTCCGGGAAGGGAGAGGAGGTTGTGCTGTGCAAATAGAGTATTGGCTGTCAACTAGAAGATTCTCTCAGGTACAACACAAATCTCTATTTAGGTGTACACTGTCCACCTCTGCCTCGGTTTCTCTCGCCTGCACGTGGTGTGTGCAGATCAGCAGTGTGCACCCTAACAGGGCTACTTCAGGTGTGCTGGGATTCTGCAGAGAATGGCGTGGGCTTTGCGTGAACTTTCATGGATCCCCCTGCAACATTTGAAAGTAGGTGCTGTTATGATTCCCATTTTACAGATGAGAATGGGCAGTGAGTCCATCAACGTCCAGCCTTGACAGATTGTTTACCGTGTTATATATCTCCTCTCTGGAATTCCAAATTAGCTCCCTCAAAGTGCTGGGGTGGGCATTTGACGTAGTGGTTAAGTCGCTGGTTAGGGTGCCTGTGTTGCCACACTGGAGCGCCTGGGTTTGGTCCCAGCTCTGGCTCCTGACTCCAGCTTCCTGCTCACGCAGACCCTGGGAGGCAGCAGGCGATGGCTCAAGTAGGTGGCTTCCTGAACCCATGTCACTGCAAGGTGCTGGGCTTCAGGCTGTCCTATGGCCATCTCATCTACACCGAGACCAATTCTCCACTTTTTTAGAGCGTCCGCTTCCTCCTGGAAGGTGGGGACATTAAAGTTCTTCTCAGAGCTTACTATTGCCCCCGTCACCCCTGAGCAAGCCAAGGGAGACCACAGCCGCTCTCACACCCAAGGCCCAGCAACGGATGAACCCTGGCTCTTGTCCCCAGGGCAGGGCCCTGGCAGCCCCTCCCTTGGAGCCCAGCCCTCTTCCTGGTGCTCACCTTTGTCCAGCTGCCTGCTATGCACAGTGACTCACAGAGCGAAGGACATCCAGCAGGGCTCCTTAACCTGCGGGAGCTTCAGGGGGCCAGACCTGGGAGCCATGGGCAAACCCGTATGTGTACTATCTGCATGTTTCTGGAAATATAATTCCCCAGGATCTGTGACCCTCTGAACAGCTGCAATCGGGAGGACTCCATGGGGCTGCTTCTGTGTGGTCTAGACATTCCCGTGGACTTGCAGCCTCTGCAGGGGAAGCCCAGGCCCCCAGCTCAGAGGGAATGAACCAGGGAAGGTCCCATCTCTTCTCAAGCTTTTGCTCAGATCCTGCACAACCTTGCATAGTCTCTCCTTGTTTTGCTGACTCACTCTTTCATTCTCTTAGTCAGCGTTCATCAAGTACTCACTCTGGATCTGGCTTTGCCGCAGGGGATGTTGGGCACACCCACATCAGGCCAGTGTTCCGTAACGTGTGGTCCTGCAGCCCACTCTCACACAGGTTCCTGGCTCTCACACAGGTTCCTGCACCTCAGCCTCGGAGGGCACTGCCCGCGACCATCCCTGGCCTCACTGAGCTAGGAAAGAGCCGTGGCTGGAGCCCAGCACTTCCTGCCAGGTACGGCCCTTGGCGCGGGCGTTCAGCAAGCTGCCTGTGCCGTGGTCCTGAGCCTTTGGTAGGAGACAGTCCCCCTCCTCGGCTCACCTTGCCCTTCTCATACGCTGGGCCTCATGGTAGGTGCGGGAGGGGAGGAGCCGCCCGCCTGTCCACTCCATTGCAGCCGCCCCGGGTGCGCGGTCTTGGGCAGATTGGGAACCCCGAGGGCAGAGAGGCTGGAGAGGCTGTCCCAGCCTGTGCTGCTCTCTCCTGCTGGTACCAATTATCCTTAACAAGGCTGCTTCTCCGCCCGGGCCTGTCTTGAGGCTTTGCTAATGAATACCTCCACGGTCCCTTGGGTCCCTCGAATAAGAGGTTTGGGGAGACCTGGGGGAACTGAATGGTTTCCTCCTAAAAGATCTTTCTACAACACAGTAGTAAGCAAAGGAGACCCTGGCTGGCAGTGGTAGTGATGGAAAATGCAATCTAGAACAAGGGGCAGTATTTCTTGAGCAGGACTTGCTCCGTAGCAGATACTGGCTGGAAACACAGCGGCACCCTGCACCCAGGACACGGTCTCCCGCCTTTTGCCCAGCAGGAAAGGGAGGCACGGTGCTCAGGCCAAGGTCACGCAGTGGGAGTGGCAGAACCAGGGGCTGCTGCTCCCCGCAGCCTGTTGTGTCTATGCAGCCTTGGCCTTGGTCTCTTGCTCAGGGCCTGGTCTGTGCTTCCATGTTGGGTCCCACAGAGGTGCTGGCAGCAGGAGACGCCCACAGCCCTGGCTCCCTCTCCGGACTGTGCCTTTGGACCTGGTCATGGACTTCCTGCTGCTGGGCGGGATGAGGCAACAGCAAGGTGGGGCAGGGCAGGGCCAATGCCCTTCCCCTCTCCCGGGTCAGCAGGCCCTGGGGGACCTGCACCCCACACCCTGCTGGCTACCCTTGGTCTCCCATCCCAGGAGGGCACAGGGGTTGGGGGGGGCAATACAGAGGTGGGAGAGGGAGGTCCGCTGGGGCATTAGCCACACGTGGCCAAGGGCTGGCCCCAAGGAGCCCTTCTCCAACTCTGGGACCACTCTAAGTGAGCTTCAGATTTCTAGGAACCGGGGAGCCCCAAACAGTCAGTAGGCCTTCCCGGACGCAAGGCCCGGAAACCCAGCAAGCATTCAGGGCCAGGAGTTCTGCCTCCTCAGTTCCCCTCCTCAGCGGCCCTCCTCCCCCCAGGCCTCTAGCACACCCACCCTGCGCCCCTCCCACCCTGCACATCTGGATTCAACTAGAGAACAGCAGGCTTTCTGTGAAGGGCCCCCACCTTCCTCTGCCCCCTTTTCCTCCACTTCAGAACCTTGGTTCTCACGGAGTGGATGGGGGTGGGGTGAGAAGGAGGCGGGAAAGCTCTGACTTCTCTCTCTCCACACCTATAGGGTTGAATTAAGCCTGCACAAGGCCCCCCTCTCCCTGCTGGCCTGATTCTCAGGGCTGGCTTGAGATCCTTCCACTCGGCAGCTCAGTTCAGAGCTGGGGCGGGGGGCGTCTCCCCGTGGCTGGGAGGAGTCAGCAGCTCTCTATCCACCACACCAATCCCAGGCCCGGAGCCCAGCCGGTCCCCTCCCAGCCCCAGAGAAGCCCCGCTGGGCTCCGGAGGCCAGGCAGTCAATTGGAATGCAGCAGTCACAGTGGAAAGCAGCTGTAACTCTCATTAAAGTGACATCAAGCCCACCGCGGGAGGATGCTGTAAATCCCGGGAAAGGGGGCATTCATCCAGGGAGAACCGCAGAAGCAAAGAAAAAAACCCATAAATAGAGGAGACGTGGTGTCTGGAACTAATGGTGGGGCCCTGCTGCCCAAGGCCAGCTGAGCTGGGCGGGGGTGGGGAGGAGGGAGCTCCAGGCTGGAGAGGGGGTGGGCGTTCTGAGCCAGGCCCCAGCGCCTGCCTCGCAGACTGCACGGGCCCCAGCCACAGCCTCCCGGTGGCCGAGTCTCCTCTGCCTTTTCTGTGCCTTCTCCCGGCTGAGGCTGGCACCCAGAGCAGGAGTGCCTTGGGTCCCTGGGGCACGGCTGGGGACCTGGCAGCGCTCACAGGTTTTCCTGGGGCTTTGGTCAGCTCTCCTGGGAGAAATCAGCTGTGGGACAAACCCTGGCTGGCCACGTGGATTTCCATCCTGATCCTGCTGCCCCCTTCCAGCTGCGGGCCTGGGCGATGGCGGCTCAGCGTCCGCCATCGGGAGGAGGAGGAGCTCACCCTCCCATACAGGCTTGCTGTGGGAGTCCTGGTGGCAGGGGCGAGTGTACCTGGCAGCCTGTCCCTGCCTGCTGTTTGTCCAATGACTAGACGAATCACCACACCCCTCCTACCCCAGAGGCTGGGACTCTTTTCACATTGACCCCTTGCTGCCAGAGTCTGGGTTCAGCCACTGACTTGCTGGGAGATCTTGAGGGGGAGACCTAACTTTCCAGGGCTTCTGTTTTGTGTTTGTTCTGGGGGTGGGGGTGCTGCAAGCCACAGAAGCGCCGTCCCCTTGCTTTTGGGGTCTACAGAGCGGACTAAGTTTCCACGAACCCCATCAGGCTACATTCCAGAACATTCCCCCTGGGGTTGTCCGGACTCCTTCCCCACCACATACGCTGGGGGTCTCAGACATAGGCTGCGAGACCACCCCATCTTTGCTGTCTGCCCTGGTGGCAAGTGGGGCTAGTGGCTGCCCGTGCTGAGGAAGGACCAAGGCCACTCCCACACCAGGAGGCCTCGGGACAGTGATGGAGTGATGCACCCCCGGAGTTCTATCTCAGTAGGGTTGGTTGAAGGGGCCTGAGAATTTGCATTTCCATCAAGCTCTCCAGTGATGCCCAGGTGCTGAGCCCAGGCTGCTCTCGGCCAACCGTTGTCCTGGAGAAATCATGCT